ACAGAATGAAATGAGCTGACAGTATGAAGTATTGTTGAGCAGCACCACCTTGTGATAAACATTGGATTGTACATTGCTTTGTCCAATAAACATATGAGTACACAGCTTCTTGTAGGTCTTGGCATATTGTTTAGACTTTATTTGGCACAATGTTCTCAAGAGAAACGCTGTGCAATATTGGCTTACAGAAGTCTGACCACAATAGAGAGTAAAAGGTGATAATGACCGGCTGCTATGGATATGTTTGCATTGCTATTAAAAATTATTTTATTTTTTAAAAGACCTAGATGTATGCAATTAATTAAAGAAAGAGTTAAAGCAGCCTTCACAGAGCACAAATGCTTCCATATAAGTTTTTTTGTAATGTTATGATCAGTTATTTTCGCCTGCTCATGGTAACAGGTTTTGTAAAGATGTAACTTGCATTTTTTTGATCAAATACCCAATTGTGAGCCAGCAGGCTCTTTGCAGCGCAGCATGTTCTCTCCTCGACACTGTACAGTCTAGCTGGAACTTCACACATACAGAAAACAGCATACCTGTGCAAAGATATTTAGCTTGGCAGACATAAATAAATGCCATTTTTAATAGTAGAAGGTACTCCAGGAAAATAAATTGTATTAACCCTTGCAGCGGGGCTGCTGGACCAGGAAGTAAATGAACTCTATTTGTAAGTCATTGAAAAACATGTTTCTTTAATGAATGAATGTAAGATGATTTTAAGTCAGCATGCTGATGTAATGTTTAGCGAAAGGGGGTAAAGGTCCACTTTAAGTAACATACAGTACATATAGTAATACAATTCAAGCCTGCTGTAAATGAGTGTCTGAAAAGTGTCAGAATTCCTAATGTCTATACTTGTTTCAAGTCAGTGACTGATAAGGACAAAGCATCAGCATGACAGCCAGGGAATTTGCATTCTCAAATGGAGAGTGCCTCAACTGCAACCTCTATACTTTCTCAGGACACATTCCTTAAGAAGCAGCCTACTTTCTATAGTACAAAACATCTTGCCTATGATAATATGACAATGGCCTGGATTGGTAATCTGTCAGGTCTGAAATTTGCCAGAAGCATAAGTAAGTCTATCAGTATTTCTAAGTTGGTCTGAGGTCCTGTGGGCTGCTCAGGTTCATTCAACACTACTATAACAAAGCAGAAAAATGAATGTATAAAAATTGAGGACAGTTTACTGAAGTGTAGACTTGTCTGCTTCAAATATACAATCATGTGCAGGAAAAATTACATGACTGTATTTGATTAGATATCACAATGTAGCAAACTTCACTTTGAAGCAAACTTTAGTAATCACCACAACTGTGTGCTTGGGCACCACAGAAGTACTGACACGATACTGCCACCATTAGATAGTTATTACTGCTGAACGTGGAATGGCATGTTTTTAGTATTAGGCTAACCAAATCTGTTTTAACCAATTGGCATCCGCGGTGTTAAACCCCCTTCCCATCCAGGCCATTTTTCAGTATTCAGCGCTGCGGTACTTTAACTGACATTTATTCCGTCTATATAACATGGTATTACATGAAGGGGTTAGAAAATGAAGGGGTGTATGTATATCATGTTTGAAGAGCCGTTCACTCTGCAAACATCTGACTTTTAAATTTGCATCGCATTATGGCCAGTAGATGGAGCTGAGGAGGACAGGAAATCCCTGTGTTCCTCAGCTTCACCTAGTGCAAGGGCAGTGAATTTAAATTCAAGGAGGTCCGGTGAGTGAAATTTGTATCGAGCAGAGGTCCAAATCCCGGTCCGGACAGAATGGTCACTTAGTCTGTGTCCATACCATGGTCTGTCGTTTAGGCTGCATTCACTCCAGCAGCTGCAGTACAAAGCACAGTTGCAGATGTGTGTTCCCGGAACCCCCCCCCACCCCCCACCCCGGTTACATACACATGCTCATTTAAATCAGACGGTGGGGGCGGCAGTGGTAATTTAAATGTTTTAAATGTTGATTTATTTTATTATTAGTTACTTACCACCTTTTCTCTTTATGGAGACATTAAGGGTCTATTAGACTCCTGATGTCTCCCCTGCCCTCCTATAAAGATGATAAACTTCAGCTGGGTTCTGACAGCTCTGAAGCAAGAATCGCTGAGAGCACAGCACTCCCTGCTTCATTCAATACAGAGCAGATCAGGGAATGGACATTCCTTGGTCTGCTCCCGCTCTCCATCCTGACACTGTTTGCCTTGGTCCCCCCCAGAGGAGCGACGGACCCAAAAACTATGTGGGGTGCATGCAAAAGCAGACTGATACAAGCAATGAGTGGCTGTACAACCAGCCAGATCACTTGTAGTTGTAGCAGCCGGCCTTGTCTGACGTCATCGGTTGCTAGGATGGCAGCAGTCCTAGCAAGTAATAAGAGAAGTGGAAGGGATTCTCTGCTGGGTCATGGCTGGAAGTGGATGCACCGTCCTCAGAGGTTGGTGTATTCCCTGTCAGCCAGCCATAACCCAGTGCAGCTTGGCTGGACAGAACCGCCACTCAGGCCATGTCTGGACTGCAGTCCACCACACTAGATGGTGCCGAGCAGCATAGGAAATGATACTTCTTGGCTCCTTCTAGTGGCCATAATGCAATACAAAGTCCGATGTTCGCAGAGCTCTGCAAACGTTTTATGAATACACCCAAAGTGTTCCAACAGGTTTTAAAACCTTTAGCAGTACTATTTTATTAAATGAGAAAATGTAAAAAATGTATACCGCAGAGGTTGATTGAGTGAGGTTATTGATCAGTCCTAATGCCATCTTAGCTCCAACTTCAGTTTCACCCTTTCGTTACTCTGCAACAAATTCTCTCTTCTGAACTACAGTAAAACATAACAATGATTACTCTACTATCATCACCTGGAGCTGTGTATTATCTTATGATCAGGTGCGGATAATGAAGAAAGCCCCTTCCACTTATGTAAGGGGACAATAAGGTCTCCATCAGCTTCTTCAGAGCAGAGGAAGGAAGGAATCAGCAAAAAAGTTTCCTAAAATCCCTGCAATGATCGAGGTTTCATCTGATGGAATTGGAGAAGATCTTTCACAGGTACAAGAGGATACACTAGAACCTTGGTTCTCAACTGGTGGGTCGCGACCCAAAAGCGGGTCACAACCTCATGTTCAGTGGGTCCCTGCATGCTTTCCACTTTTCTAGGTGAGAGGCTCCTCAGCCTCCCCCTAGCACAGCACTGTCAGTTATTGCGCCAAACAGCCATTCAAAATATGCTGCCCGATACCGAGTGTCAGCTTGAGGTGGAGTGGGCTGGGGCTATGGCCACGAGGGACCTCCATCCATAAGTGCAATGCTTACGGCTCCCTTGTGTGTCCTGTAGAGGTGCCTGGACCGGAATGGTCTAACATTCTGGCTCCTGGCACCTCTACAGGGTGTGCAAGGGGGCTGTACAACTGGATGCACATATGGATGGAGCTCCATCAAAGCACAGCAGCCCAGCAATGGATCCCAGGCTGAGGATCCACTCCAGTTCTCGTAAGGTAGGGAGACTGGGTGGATTTTTAAGAAACAAATATTTTTTTTTGTGGAGTGCGCATGTGTGTGAGAATGTCTGTGAGTGTGTGAGATTGTGTCTGTGTTTGTTTGTGTCTGTCAGTGTTTTTGAGGGCCCGTTCACACTAGTACAGTGCGTTGATCACACGTTCTGGTGTGAGAGGTTCATTGCATTGCCATTCAACCCCAAACGCATCCCCCACCCACAGTTCTATTGCCCGCATCAGTACCGCAATGCCATGCGTTCCATTGCAGTGCAGCTTGGGTCACAACCTAATGACCAAGGACAAATGTGGGTCCTGAGGTTACACAGGTTGAGAACCACTGCACTAGAAGAATTATGTCACAAAGGATACATAGTAATGTTCTCCTCTCTGCTCAGGCTGTTGTACAGACCATGCCGGAGATACAAGTCCATTGTAAAACACAAATGTAAGAACAGAATCCCTAATTGTGCAGATTTTGTATCTATTTACTGTATTTGGCATTCTATTGTCATTGTGTTTACTAAATAATGAAGGTCGAAGGAAAACATTCATGAAGTCTCTTTTGGTCTTGGGTCTTTATAGCGATTCTGTTACTAAAATGAATGTTTCCTGCAAAGCAGACAATGAATCCTCTCCTGCTGACGGATCCTCCGACCTCTGCGGTGGTAAAACATTTGCAGAATTGGACACTTCCAGGAGTGAAGGATTCCCGGGGTCTGCCGTTGCACTCTCAGTGCCGCTACATCACAGAATATCTATGAAACATCTTGATGGAACATTGTCATGGAACACAAAAAGCAGATACAATCTTCATTTGAAGGGCCCATTCACACTGGTCTGTTGCATTGCGGTGCGATGACATACGTTATGTTCCATGTTTACATGCGTTGCACTCACCACACTTTTAAATAGACCTGTAACATTTTTGTGAATACATTTATATATATAGGAATGAATGAGCATGAAACAGCCATTTTCATACAAAGGTGCAGCTGTCCTTCTCTTAGATTTTTACAATTGCCTTGCCATATTGGGGAGATTTTTACCCGTGTGACAACTTGACAAGAAATGGGAAACAAGAACTCAGAGCTAAAGTTTAATCTGCTTATATGTTGCCTCCCCTGGATCTCTACCTCCTCCACCCACCAGTGCACCAGTGACAGGCTGGGGAGGAAAGTCCTAGATGATGCTGGACATCCTTTAGTCAGGGATATATCTGACTTGCTGCAGCTTTTAATGCACATTGTGAGAAGCTCTCAGTGTGCAATGTCAGTCCAGGAGAATGTACAACAGTGCCTAACCCTCCCCCAGTCTACAATACTAAATGACGAGTACAGGTTGGAGATGATGATGACAGAAGATGGCAGCTCTCTCCCCTCACTGATAACACCCGTACAGCACTGACAGCAGCTCACCTCTCTGTATCACCGTGCACGGCTCAGGGCCTGGACAGGCTGGTGGGCGGAGTCAGTGGCAGGTCATGTGATTCCCGGCACTATAACAGGTGACTGAGTGCCGCGGCTCGTTTTTCCTAGCATGGACTTTCAGGGTGACTTGGAGGATCAGGAGCTGCGGGAAGCGCAGAGAGAATTCCTGGACTTCCTGGATGATGATGTGCGGCTCGTCTCTATGTATATCCTCAATGCACCATCCTAATGTCATATATATATATACACGGGGCTGGTACAGCTTCAGAGGAGTCACCAGAGGGGATGGATCCTACCAGTTCTGATGGGTCACCTGGATTAGACTAGCCCCGGTGGTCTCCATACCTTTGTGATGTCTATATCCCCGGGGTCTCCATAACTCTGTGATGTCTAGACCTCTGGTGGTCTCCGTCCCTTTTTGTGATGTCTAGACCCCTAGTGGTCTCTATCCCTTTTTGTGATGTCTAGACCCCTGGTGGTCTCCGTCCCTTTTTGTGATGTCTAGACCCCTGGTGGTCTCCGTCCCTTTTTGTGATGTCTAGACCCCTGGTGGTCTCCGTCAATTTTTGTGATGCCTAGACCCTTGGTGGTCTATGTCCCTTTTTGTGATGTCTAGACCCCTGGTGGTCTCCGTCCCTTTTTGTGATGTCTAGACCCCTGGTGGTCTCCGTCCCTTTTTGTGATGTCTAGACCCCTGGTGGTCTCCGTCCCTTTTTGAGATGTCTAGACCCCTGGTGGTCTCCGTCCCTTTTTGTGATGTCTAGTCCCTTGCTGGTGTCTTTGCCCCAGTGGTCTCTATTCCTAGTATCATTGAAACCTTTGTGGTCTTATGTGCAGTCAAATATTATGTGTGGTACATGCTTAAATGTGTTTGATGGTCGTGTTGAAGGATACACCTACATCTGGGGGCTCAGGACTGACATTATGTTGGTCGTATACAATCGGCAATTTTCAATCAGTTTAAACCTACTTTAGACTAAACAGAGCAATGCTCCCTACTAACAAAGGTTTGCACTATGCATGGTAGGGATGGTGGTAGGTTGCATTGATTTCAGGTGTGAAACGTGCTGACATGGCCAGTAAATCTCTAGATTTTGAGCTGTATTTTACCATCTCCAGTTCTCAGGATAACAAAGCATTCACTTGTATTTTTCCACAGATTGTATTCTGTTCACTCCACATGTTTACAACTACCATGTTTATATTGAACAGTTTATTTAATGTATTGCTATATGTTCATAATGTAAAATATCTCATTCTAAGTGGCCAACTATGAAATTGGAATCGGGGAAGTATTACACTGCGGGATTATTGGTTGTATTTTTAAGCTTTTGGCTGCATCATTCTCATGTAGAGATTCTCTGGACCAGTTGTATGGAAGTTCCCT